TATTTTTAATTTATACTTTTTTATTGTATTTTAAGTATATGTTATTTAATTTTGCATTTTTTATTTTATTTCATATCTTATTTGTTATTTTACTTTATTTACTTAATTTTATTCATAATTTTGTTTAGTGTATTTATTTGAATATTCCTTAGTTGATCGTATCTGCTAAATTCTTACTGGATTTGCCAATTTGATTTCTCCTATACCACCTTAGTACCATCATAATCGACTTTCAGTGAACCAACGAGCCATTTCAACCTTCAATTCACTACAATCACCACCGAAAACCCTCAAATGACCATCCCAAACAACGCCTATGAATTGACCATTAATGTCAGCGCTCAGTGCTGCCTATTTATAATTGAGCAACTAAAAGAGCTTCCACTAGACTAGCGCCCTTCACATTGTGTTGATAATATCACACCCTTCGCTACACTCCTAACACTTCGCTGTAATGTCAGCATCGTAGAAAGAAAGGCCTTTAAATGCTTTGTTGCAGTCGCGGCAGGGGTGAGGCAAGGCGAATTGCATAAGGACTTACATACATACAAAGTATTAGTTGCTGGTGGGAGGCTGTGATGCAATACATTCTTCTTGGTCATCTTCTTTGACTCTGCCATGCAATTGAGTTGTTTTACAGAATGTATGGTCGTAAAATTTTACGATAATTATCGTATGTGACAAAGACATAACGTTGCGCCAATGAAACAACAAAATAAAATGTGAAAGTTTAAACTTCTGCAAGCTGTCTGGGAGAATGATTCAAGGGACGGGTAAACTTATGGATATCGGAGGACAATGATGACAGCTTTATCAACACGTACGCTTGGCAGAAAGTAGTGTTCAGATAAATGAACTTCAAAATTATCTATAATAGTCTCGGCTGAAACCACAAATAATCAAAATTGAACATTTTTGGTATTTATTTCACACTTAAGAGAGTCAACCAGTTTATTATAGTATTATATATAGCAAAGAAGGCTACTCTGCTGTGTGCTACTTCGTAAACAATTGTTTCTTATTATGAAGTAAATAAGTTTTTTTGTTTACTTTTTTCGTTAATTTTGCCTATTTTTACGACATTCAAACTCTATGCAAATATCTGTTCACCACTGCTCACACATTCCATAGAAAATAGCAAATGAGCTGACTTACAGTTATCTGTTTCCGTGGTGTAGTGGTTATCACATCCGCCTAACACGCGGAAGGCCCCCGGTTCGATCCCGGGCGGAAACAGTAACAAATTTTTTATAATTTTAATACATTTCTTTTTTAATATTCCTAAAATGTTTGAAATTATATTGAAATATGACTTAAAAAATTTTTTGAATAAATTTTTCTTGATAATATACTGCCGATAAACAAGTACAAAGAGCTTTGCACGTGCATGAAACGCCTGAAAGTATGCAACGATTTCTGACTTTACGGCATAAAAGCAGTTTCTTATACCAACAAAGAACTAATAATAATGATATTATTATTATAGTAACAGTTCTCTGATACCAGTAAGCATTTAAATCATTTTTTTTTTTGGAACTATGAAAAAGAGAAAAATTCAAAGGAATTAGTTTTATATATATAGCTAAATATTACATTGCATATTTACATCTCGCATATAAATTTCTATAAACTTTTAAATAAATGGAATATGCAAGACATTTTCATTCATTCAATATGCATTTAAACGGTATAAGACCTCATTAAAATTGAACACCTTTCGTGGCCAATAAAGCCTTTCCTCTCTTAATTGACACTTTTAACTAGTAACCTCTCTAAGGAAGCAGCTTGAAAGTAAGAAAAGAAAAACTGGAGAATTTGTGTGAAATTTTAGAGTCTCAACATTTTTATTCGCGAAATATTCCTTCTGAGTGGTTTTTTCTGATTTTGAATATCATATAAATGAAAAAATTATCTCGCTGAGTCACGAACAAGACTTCTTGATGATTTCGAAATTATTCACATTGAAAACAACTCGAAAATTACTCTTCCGTATGCGCAAAATGTAAGTTTATGGTAAAAAAAAGTGAAAAAGATTCGCAGTAAGACACAAAATCTAATAGAATCGGTTTAGAAATGCTCTTCATAGGCAACTCGTAAAGAGTGCTTCGTCAAAAGCTTCATTTACGATCAAACAACGAGCGCGTTTATGAATATTTTAAGGTAGATGAATGAATCGTAAAGGACGTATTCAAATGTGAACGTAAAATTCATGGCTGAATTAATTGAAATGCTTCACTGTTTCTTTCTTAAATTGTTTTTTGTCCTCTGAAAAAGCAAAAGTGTAATAATAAAATAACTTTGTTTTATTTTCAGAGTTAGCCGATAATTTCAAAAAAGTTTATCAATATATTTAGGCTTTTGCTGCCTCTTTCAAAGTTTTACGTATAATATGGCAACATTTTTATTTTATGTATACAATAGTATTTATTTAATTTAATTTTTACTAATATTTTTTTAGAAAATAAGATATAATAATAAATAAATAATAAATAGAAATAATAAATTTCTAGCACTATTGGTCATTCGCTTGTACCAGTTGCAACGCCACTGTATTAATATTTTATACACCAATTGGCAAAGTCGCAAACCTGCGTTTAAATGAACTTACCACACTGTAGTTAATTTCTTCCAACTATTAGATTTTTTTTACTGGTTTGCTAAAAATATTTTCTGAGGGTCACCCTGTGCTCTTACAGTGCGGGTTGACTCATCCCAAGAGCACATACTTTCATAAATTGCTCTCAAATTATATTTTTTGCATTAATTTAAACACAGGCATCGGTGGTTCAGTGGTAGAATGCTCGCCTGCCACGCGGGCGGCCCGGGTTCGATTCCCGGCCGATGCAATTTAATTTTTTAAATTTTCTTTAGAAAAATCTAAGAGAAAAAGTCGGAAAAAAGTGGTTAAATTAACTCCCCCCCCCTCCCCCCATCATTAATATTTTTATAGCTACTGGAAGATCTTCTGGGAATACACTTTATTTTCCTCTTCAACGGTTTTATCCCTATCGTTAGGTCGATGAAATGGCTTCCTTTTTAGACCCTCGAAAACACTTGTGGAGCATTTAAACTTGTGATGCGCTTCCAATGGTGGTCGATTATATTGTAGCACACTTACCTCATTGTATTGTAATATCAAGACCGCCTGACCTTCCGATTACGATATATTAGATTGCACACAGTTAACAACAATCTTCGTAAGCGACGTTGAGTAGTCTATCATTTCTACAAGAGAATTAGTGAACTACCTCGAGAAAGCTCCTCAAAGGCATTTACGACATCAGGAAAATAAATTTGAAAGTGAAGTATGAAGCCAATTGTGGATATACAGATAGTTGTAGGCATATAATTCGATCTAGAAAAGGTGCAAGTCACTTGCTCCTACCTAAGCAGGGAGTAATGAGCGGATGATGACTGTTGGGTCTAAAACATTCGAGCAGGGTTTCTCTCTGACTGACCCAATAGCCAAGGTAGCTTCGAGCACAATGGCTACAACTCTATCCCCGGCGCAAATGTAATAGAGCCTATAAGAAGGCAATTAGAAAACGGCAAAAAAACAATAAATAACATCTAGGTCCCAGGTCGCAAGATAGCATAAGACATAGAATACTCCGACCAGCTGGTTCGGACTGGTCCTAGTGATGCTGTCACAAATCTACTACTTCAGGTTTTTGAGCACTTTCAAATGATCTGAAGCCCTTAAGGACCTTGGATGAGCATTAAATGTATTTAATTGTTTTCTATTTCCGAGATAACATCACTCTCCTCATCATACTTCTTCTGGCAGAGATCAAACCAACGGAATCTGACTTAATAGCTGAGTGCTCTACCTTCAAACTAAAATCAGACATGTAATCTACTCTGGTTCCACCATTTCGTAGTTTTTGGTGTCAGTAAACTCTTGACAGTGCATTGTGCTCTGAAGGACTATCTCCACTAGTTAGGTAAAGAAGCGTCAGTTGAGTGCCGAATATGCAGAGAAGATGACGAAACGTTGGAGGACTTTAACCCAAGCTGCAACCTTATACTCAGAGTATACTCAAAGATCCCAGGCGATCAGGTGCTTGACATCACCATTTCAGCCAAAAGCCGATGGTACTGGCACTGGCTTCATCACCAATAACTCCTTTCACTGATGAAGGTTATGCTCTTTACCCAAGCAGTGCAGGAGATGTTCCTTTAATCAGCTCAATGAGCTCGACCAGAGAAAGAGAGCACCGAGCATCGTACGTAAATTGTTGCTAGCATCTAAATTCAAAGAGAGCCTTTCGGCTTTAATTGCTTAGTATTGAAATGGAGAAACAAGAGCCAAGTTCAAAGAGCAGCGATCGCAAGCTATAGGGAAACAGCACAGAGTGAAGTATCCAAGAAGCTCTTCGCACGTAGAACCGATTATATGGAGTTTTTTCTGTAAAAATGAATGAAATTAATGGTTGACATCTAATTCTCGACATATTTTACTAACTTCGTGCGGAGAATTGCATCATATTGAGCCATTCATAGAGTGAGTGTATTTTTGAAGGAATTTCGATTTCATTTTTGCATGAGTTCTGTTCTTGTCAAATATAAGTGTTCCTCGCTGTCGTCTCTGAACCGAATAGAAAGTTCTTTCTAAGCAAAAGTCTCAAGTAAGATTTGAGAATATATTCTCAGACCATCACAAATTCTTGATCTGAACTGGAATCGATAATTGTTGAAAATTAGAAAAACACAACTTTTATTCTAATTAGTTAACTTTATTAAATTTTTCCACATTTTTAGCCATCAAATGAAATTACAGTTAAATAATATTGAATGTAATTTCAGACAATTCTACTCGTATTCAGTTAAAAACTACACAAAATTTACTTCTACGGAAAAGCTTTTGAAAATCGAACTGTGATTATTTTTAGAAGAAAAAATCTTAAGAAATTGAAATATTAATTTTTATAAAAAAAATGAATACCTCGCATTAATTATATAATATTAATATCAGTAAAATTGATTTTATCAATAGTAACATAAAATTTAAAATAACTAATTTTTTATGTTTCATAAACTATTAAATTATGCTCTTAACTTATTCAGCTCTAACTATAAAAGTGCTATGTTCGCAACAATCCAAAAAAGTTTTCAACTTTAGATAGTATTTTTGTTGTTTTATGTGGCTTTTAAAATTAACAAATTTTCAGCTAAAACTAAAAAGTTACTTAAACTCATAAACCTAACCTTAAAATGTGAGTGAAATTTAAAAAATGATTAACTACAATACATCGAAAACAAAACGTTGACTTAAAAGTGCTTAAGTTAACTGCTTAAGGGCTTAAGTACACCTAATTACATAAGTACGATTTTTGACTTAAGTTTAGTAAATGTTGCTGGGAACAAGTAAGTCACCGCCTTCATATCGAACTCCTATGGACTTATGGCTTACATCTGCACACACAACACGATGGAAAGAGAAACCAATCCATGAAAATGCCCTTACAGTCATTATCCGGATCGTAGGCCAATAGGCGATGCCATTTATACTTTTGCTCACAGCCGCAGTCGCGATCACAGCGCGATGTCGCGGCTTTGCTGAGGTAGAAAGGAAAAGATAAATTCGTTAATTTTTTTCAAGTGAAATTTTTTTAAATTTCCAGCAATACATACGAGCACACCTCCTGATGTATGGCCTGTTCGAAATGTTGTGTATTCACAATGGCGCGAATTTTACCCGCCGAATTGGAGGCCCAATAGGGTGTGACAATCTCCACTTTCGACTCGCAGGCGTCCACTCTAAAAAGAAAAAAAATTAAAAGTTTTAATAAAAATAAATATAATATAATATATTCCAACAACAAGAAATTAAATTTAAAAAATTAAATAAAGTAAAATAATTTTATGTAAACAAAACCAAATAAAATAAAATAAAATTAAATTAAATCAAATAAATTTAAAAAAAACAGAGTAAACTACACTAATATTAAAAAAATAAATTAACTAAAATGAAAAAAGAAAACAAAATAAAATGAACAAAATAAAAATAGAAAAAGAAGAAGAAGAAAACAAAATACAAAAATAAAACAAAGTAAAATAAAATAAAATGAAAAATAAAATCAAATAAAATAAAGTAAAATGATATAAAATAAAAAAATATAATAAAATAAAATAAAACAGAATAAAGTAAAATTAAACAAAATAAAGTAAAACAGAATAAAATAAAGTAGTATAAAATAAAAATAATATAAAATATAGTAAAATAAAATAAAATAAAGTGAAAAAAAAATTAAAATAAAATAATTGAGAAAAATAAAATAAAATTAAAGTAAATTAAATTAACAAACATAAAAAAAATTTAAGTTAACAAAATAATATAAAATATAAAGAAATGAAATAAAATAAAAAAATTAAAAATAAATAATATTTAATGAGATAAAAGAAAAAAAACCAAATTAAAATAAAAAAGAGAACAAAGTAAAATAAAATAAGAATAAACAAAATAAAATGAATAAAAATTAATAATATAAAATCAAATAAGAAAAGGATAAAATAAGGAAATTTAAAACAAAAAAGTTAAATTAAATAATATTAAACAAAATGAGGTAAAATCAAGTGAAAATATAAAATAAAATAAAATAAACGAAAACTTAATAAAATGGAATAAATTAAAAATTAAATTAAACTAAATTAAATAAATGAAAATTAGATGAAATAAAATAAAAAATAAATTAAGGTAAATAAAATAAATAAAAATGAAATGAAATAAAATAAAAAATATTAAAAAAAAAAATATAATAATATAAAATTCAAAAAAATAGATAAAATAAAATAAAAATAAACGAAAATAATATAATATAAAATATAATAAGAAAATGAAAAAATAAAATAAAATAAAATAACTAAGATTTAAATAAGAGATAAAAAGTAAAATAAAATGAAATAACATAAATTGAAAAAAAGTAAATAAAATAAAATGAACGAAAGTAAAAAATAAAAATATAATACAATAAAAAAAGAGATCAAAATAAAATATAATAAAATGAAATAAAATAAAAACACTTTAAATAAAAAAAAATATTGTAATACAAACAACTAAAAAAAAGTAATCTAAAATAAAATAAAGTAAAATAAATAGAAAAAAAAATAAATAATATAAAATTAAATAAATAAATTAAAATAAAATGAAATAAAGTATAAAAAAATTTTCATCTTATTTTATTTTAGTTTATTTAACTTTTTCTATTTATTTTTTTATTACTTTAATATATTTTAATTTATATAAATAAAATAAAATATTAAAAAATTAATTAATTAATTAGTTTATATAAAATAACATGAAAAAGATATGAAAATAAATTAAAAAGTATTACAAAATTAAGTAAAATAAAGTAATAAAATAGAATAAAGTAAAATTAAATAAAATGACGTAATATAAAAAATTAAAAATAAAATAAAATGGAATTAAACAAAATGAAATAAAATATAGTAATAAAAAAATAAAATTAAAATAAATTATATTAAATCAAATTTAAAAAAATTAAACAAAATTAAATAAAAATAAAAGTAAAAATAAAGCATAAAATAATATAAAAGTATATAAAATAAAATTTATTTTTTCACACCCTTCTTACCTTCCCGTATTTTGTCCAGCATTCGCGAATGAATTTTGATTTGCTTTATTTGCATTCCGATTTGCTTGCCGTTTATTACGCAATTTGCCGAAATAACTTTCACCGGCCTCCTCAGCGTGTGGCTCTGTGCTGCCCTCATCGTCGGGCACCAGTGCAGGAAAAGCGCCTGGTGGTATGAAAATATCCGGATCATCAATGAAACGACGTTTGCGTTTCTTCGTCTGCGATTGTGGACCGCCCGGCTCGAGATTCATTTCAAAGTCACCATACATTCGTCGCATTAACGCCTTATTGTCGTCGATGAAACGTTCGATTTTGTCACTGGGGGAAAGGCGCAGGAAAGATATGAAATTAAATTTGTGGAATAAAGTTAAAAATAAATGGAAAAAATAGTGGAAGAATTAGACGAGACATGGACAGAAAAAGTCTATCATTTAAGCCATGTAAATGTACGCAAGTTTGGTAATGGTTTCGAGGTAGGGAGAAGACTTTTTTCACAAGTGCAATGATAATGAAAATTTAAGATGTGGAGCTACGTTATAATAGTGACTCAATTCTACTACATATTAAGGTCTGGCTCGTCCTAGACCTTAAATAGCGCATAGCATATTTTACTGGTAATTTATGCCGCTTATTATTCTTTGGCATAATCCCAAAAATCTAATCATCGAATGGTCGTGTTTCGTTTTTCATAAATAAAATTGAAAACGATCTGAATAATTTCCTCCAAAGCTGTTCCCACAGCCCTTTAATTAGCTAATTTAATTAGCTAATTGAGAAGAATTTAGCAATCACGCAAAATTAGCCACATAAATACTGTAGCAACAACTAATTGACATAATATCAAGGAGCAGGGAAGAAAATTATTGCGGCAAATAAAATTTTCAGACAGTAATATAATATACTATATTTTAGTTCCAAAAATATTTTTTTGTGTTGAGTTTTCTGAAGCGGCTGCACTTGTGAAGCGGTGAAAAAAAAATATTTTTTTTTATAAAAAAAAATCCTTCAAGTTGAAGGAAAAAATAGTTTCAATAATACCGTTGGCCAACTTTTTTAGTTCTAATTGGACATAAATTCTTTTGGCTATCACTGGGACCTAAGACCTAAAAATTAAAACTCGAGAAAACGCACTTTTAAGATTTCAAAATTTTGAAAACACATTTTTGAATAGTTTTATAATAGATTTAAGGAAAAAATGCTTTATTAAGTTTAAGATAGTAGTACTTAATTGAATGTGTGTGAACACCAAGCTCAGTGACACAATTTCAAGCTAAATTGTCTCAGTTAATTGACCTGTGTGAACGAGACATTATAAGCTAAAGACTGCGGATAGGTTTTGAGAACCCGTCCGTTTTTTTCTTCCGAAAATTAATTTCGAAAATAAATATATAAATGCAATAAAAAGAAAGTATGCCACTGAGGGGAATTAATACGTTGATTGGCCAGTAAAGAATTTCTTTCCATCTTTTTTTTATAAAAAAATAAATATGAACTTCTTATTAAGTGCAAGTTCTTTTGTATAAATATTTTTATTTATTTATTTATTTTATTTTTGTAAAAAATATCAATTGTGCTAACCAAAAACAGAAAAATGAGATCGCAAAAACGTATGCACCGAATCACAGTTCATCATCATCATCTGTCTACAAGTTTCAACTATTTTCATACAAACGACATTGGTGTGGGCGTGTGCTCACACCTTTCGATTCGCTCATCATCAAACATGTAAATGTCTAACAACCGAAGATAATTTTGTTTTTACAATTTCATATGTCAACCAATGTGGAATTTCATTGACGATAGTTACTCGTATTGGAGGCATAAAAATATTCAATTACTCATTCATTCATAAATTTCTTATAAACGACAAATTCAATTTGCGTCGGTTACAAATTGTACATTTTTTTACTTTTTAAAGTAGTAAAAAAAATTTTTTTTTTGTTTTTTTTTCTTGCTTTCCAAGTCATTTTTAGAATTTTCGCCCACATAGACGTGTTGTCGCCGCTGACGAGTTCTAACATTTACAATATATTACTACCTTTTGTTGCTGTGTAACATGCATATGTAACTTTGAAGTTCAAAAAAATGTTGTTTTTGTAGAAGGCGTTTAGAAATGTAATTTTTTAGTATTGAGTTACTTCCGAAAATCATTAATTTCCAAATAGGTAGGAAGAAGAATTCTATTTTTAACGCATTACAGTGACAAAGCGGATGAGCATTTGGTAGTTTTCGAAATTCTAATATTATTGATAAAGATTTTCGAAAATTCTATTCAAAAAAAATAACCTAAAATTTCTCTAACTTGAGAATGATACCCGCATCGAATTCCCAAAATAATTTTTTTTTTTATATTAAAAATAAATTTTTTTTCTTTGGCACGCGCATAAATTCGTTGAATCATTGACGATGGCGCCGTGTGTTAAGGTCATCAGCACTCACTTAACGACGATTCACCGGAAGTGAATACAAAAAAAAAAAAAATAACACGCCAAACAAAAACAAAATGCTAATCTGTCGCAATTAAATACATATACAGACATACATACATACATACATATTACGAATGTAAATATTTTTAAAAAGATTTCGCAAATTTTTTTGCGTCATTAATGACAGATTAAAAAAATTCTCGAAACAAGTTGTGCTTAAGCGTAGCAGCAGCAGCAAAATTAGTTTAAGTATTATAAAGGCGTTGATTAAACAAAGAAAAAAGAAGACGCAAGTTGAGTGAAAAAACAGCTTTCAGTTGGTTGAAGATTTTTGATTTTTAAGGAAAAAAGTATACACGCCACAGTGAAGAAGAAGGCAAAAAATTCTAAATAAATTAAAAAACAAATAAAAATAATAATAAACTCTTTTTTTATTTCAACTCAGCAGTGGAATATATGCATAAAAAATTGATTAAGTGAAAAAATTTACTTCAAGTTCATGTGACCTTATATGGTCATACTAGAAAATAAAGGTGGGTGTGTCGCTGGAGTAGCGCTTATAACCTCCTTAAAGAGCTAGTCACAGCGCTACTCGAACCTTTTTTTACTCACTTTTTTACTTAAAATTTTTTTTTTATTTACACATTATTTATTTACAAATTTTAGCAATTCAATTCACGATTTTTGGCAATTTCACTTTCCTGAATTTATACGCATTTATTAAAGAATTTTTTGAATTTTATAAAAAATTGGTATTAAATTCAAATTACTGGTTTTCAAGTATACCATAAAGTATTTAATCTCCATAAACAGTTCATAAATTCTGCAACCAATTGGAGATTTTCACTTTTATGGCAAATTTATATCAATTTTTTTTAAATTTAATTTATGCTAAAAGCTTTAGTTTAAAAGTTAAATAAATGATTTTCTTTCAACCATAAATTATTTAAAAAAAGTTTAGAACGTTTGCCACAAGCCAGTTTATTTGTTTAATTACATAAGTCTGCAGGTAAAAATGTTGTCTGAATATTTTCAACTGATATCTATGTATTTTAATGTTCTTGAAACGAATAAAAACTATAAAAAAAGCTTCGCGAACTCGTCGTTATTTTCTAGATCTTCGTGTCAAAGTATGTCAAGTTCATACCCCAATCGGTAATCAGCTATTCGTCCGATGCCTACCATTTCTACCTTGAACGAGATTTCAAGTTCGACGAAGATGGTGCTGAACCTGAACCCTGACTTGACTTATCAGTCGAATTCGAGGATGACAGTAGATCCAAATTGTTTTCTCATCGCGTGCTAGATCAGACTATAAATTCGCCTAATGTCAATTTCCGTTGGGAAATGTATGTGATCAGAGAATTTTCAGTCTTAGCCTTGCAACCACAGAGCAGTTTATTAGAAAATGCTTAGATGAGCCCATTATTTTTCCTCAATACAACAGCGGCGAGCAGAAAAACGAAAAGCCTAACCACCTGAATTCATATCGCACAATAGCTATGCAGACCTCCCACTATATATGAGAACGTTAATTTTAGTAAGGAAAAGAGTTTCAAGGTTAAAAAAATACCGCAACTGCTTAAACAGAGGCGCTTTGTTGATTCAAGACTCACCTCTACGAAAGAGAACCACATGTTAACAGAGGAATGAAACAATAATACCCGTACATGCCTGCTTATCAGCTTGGAAGCTCAATTACAACGTGACCCGATCGGCACTGGGCAGATGAAACAAGTTGACGCGCGCAGAGTGTAAAACAAACATTCTTTTACAATTTTGGAGCTCACCGTGAGTGGCCGTAATACCAATGGGGTGCACCATAGTCTAATACATTTCGCTTACTTGGATCAATGCCCAAAGGCAGGAACTTCAAATTGTCCGTACTTTGACGAGTTGGCGTATTGTCATTAGTGGCTTAAGGAATAATAGAGACCGAACAAATGATTGGACAAAAAGTTTTGGCCTCCGGAAGATTATAAGGATGGAAAAAGGACATCCAGCATGAAACATTTGTGCATGATCTTTAAGTCTTTCTACCAGCACTTTACATAAAGCTGGTATTAATGAAACTATTTGAATCACTGCCAACTAATGGGGAGACTGGTTCCAATACTTAATATCAAAACACCACTTAGAGGCAAAGTTAAAGGAAGACATTTCCTTTGGTCCAGATATTAGATGGCCGATCGGCAAATAGAAGTGTGGATTGCCTTTAAAGGAGTTATGGCGGAATTTTTAGGGCGAATACAAAAACGCTATCTAGAAACATATGTTTAAAAGAATGTTAAGAGTCCTCAAAGCTTTTCTGCGATTAAATGGGATGTGGCCTTTCCAAACGGATTTTTCATTCTCTAAATATGAATTTCGGGTCAAAAATTTCCAATCACGTAAAATTGAATAGCTATGCCCAGAGGTTCTACGAACATTTTTCGATCATCGTGAAGCACCTTGGACAGTAATTAAAAAATTGGTCGGGAAAATTAAGCTGTTGGGACAAGTTGGGGATGTGAAGAATAAAACACGTACACGTCGCTCAATAACAACTGAGAATATTGCTGCTGTAGCTCAAAGAGTTGATGAAATCCCAGGTTTGTCATCCGGAATTTCGTCGGAAAAAATATCTTAACTGATGAAACCTATTTCTACTTCGGCTACGACAGTAAGCACAAAAGTCGCATCTGGAGTTCGGAAAACTCAAGACTTATTGTTGAAAAGTTTCAGCATCCTCAACGTGGAACATACCAATAGATCTCGCTTTTTCAAAAATAGGGCTAGAGCAACAGTTACGGTGAATGGATTGCGCTATCGAGATTAATGTTTTTTTATGGTCCAAATTGGATGGTATTGATCTGAACAACGATTGCTTTCAACAAGACAGCGCTACGTACCACACAAACAGCGAAATTTAACTGACAAGTTTCCAAATCGTGTTATCTCTCGAAGAGGAAATCGCAATCGGTTACCGGATCTTGTAATTTAACAACTTGCGACTTATTCCGTTGAGTCCACATGAAAGATCAGTTCTACCTCAACAGGACAATGTGAGTATAAGACCCCAAGGATGGAGTTCGTGAAGTTACTGAGAGTATACAGCAGCCATTTTGTGATTTGGTGATTGAAACAGTCACGTAAGCGTAGCCGTGGCGTCCATATAGTTCTTTGAATATAAAAAGAGACACTGCACATTGGAAAACCCTGTATTTATTTAAAAAAATATCCAGTGTGGCCGGAATTTTTATATTTCCATGAGATCGAATAAATCAAACTCATATTAAGATTATTTTAAAATAAGTATATTTTCTGTAAAACCTTTAGTCACATCACTTTTATTTTCGAATAATTAATACAAATTTCAAGACTTCACCAGCTTGATTGACATTCTCATCCATTGATGGTCTCTTCCATTGATAGCAGTGCACATACATGAATAATACAAACATACACTTGAGTCTAATTTACAGCGAAGGTCTGCAACACAAGTCTGCATTGTCTTATTAATTGGAAGAACGCCACTGTATATAATTTGATTGTTACGCGTTAATTTAATCGAATTTACTAAAAAAAATATGTGAATGAAAACATAGTATTTTATTCCCCCAACTGCCATTATGAGAACAGAAATTCAATAAAAAACAATGACCTTAAACTACTCCATTATTTTATTATTTTTTTTTTTGCAAATACAAAAAAAAATTTGCCGGCGAATTTTTGAAAAAAAAAAACAAAAACAAATATACACAAACATAAAAAAAATTAATTACAGTGTTAATGATTTTTTATTGAAAATTAACTATTATTAATGAATTTATTTTCACATATCTCTTACGTGCTAAGTAGGTCATTTTGTATTTAACCACTGAAATTAAATTTAGTTGATGTGAGCGGTTTTGAGTTTGATTAATATAAAACTAAATTTGTGTATTTTACTTTAGTACCTCTTTTATTGCTAATTATTATTATTTTTTCTAACTCTGACATTTTTTTTTGTCATATAAAAATCATATATTTAATCCAATCAGTTTCTTATAATTACAGTTAAAATTTTAAGATTAGGGTTAAGTAAAATCTCGAGAAACTAATGTAGGTTTAGATATAAATTTCAAAAAAAAATTACTGCCAAATTAGTTTGAGTTAATCAAAGTGATTCGTTGTTTGCCGCTTTTAATAGCGATTGGCTAAAAAAAAAACACAGAAACAGATAGTACATTACAGTTCTGCATATAAGATCGCCCTGCGGGAAATTTGGAAGCATTGAAATTTTTACACTAGCATTTTAAGATTTTCATATATTAAACACTGTTATTTTGAAATGGTGTTTCCTTCAAAATTTCAATTTCTTTAACAATCAGCAATGCTATGTTACTGGTTCATTTATACTAGTTGAAATACCAGTTGCTAAGGCATCAACCAGGAATAACCACTGATAGATTTGAAGCCTCATATTTTTATAAAATAATAAAATAACTGCAATAAAATTAAATCTAAGTTTTCTACAAAATTGATTCAAATTTCAATTGATTATTTATTATACTTTTTATTTTGCAAAAATATTAAAAAGTAATTTTGGAAAACTGTCAAATTTTAATTTGGTATTTACTAGATTGAAAAACTGAAATTGTAGGTTTAATATTTAATTTTTTTTTGCTAGATGTAATAATTTAAAAACCGAAATTTTCCAAGTGGGATAATCAAACCAAAGAATATTTATTCTAAATTCTCATATTTAAATTTTTTTATTTTTTTTTTTAAAGTTCATTGAAACTAGATACCAACTAATATTGGTAGTGGCACTCTTCACCAGGAGGTATAAATAATTTAGCCTTGCCTAATGAAATGCCAGGAAATAACTCTCTATTGAGGTTAAGAGTCTCGGGAAATAACTTAACTAGAGCCAAACCACATACCTATATGACTGATCTAAGCACTTGTAAACCAGTAATTAGCAAAATAGGGGGGCTTAAGACGTTGCATAGTCTACTGGATATTTACAGCGGTAGTCGGACCTTTCTTTTTCTACTGCATCACCGTTTGGTTACCGGCACTACATAAATAACTTTTGGGAGAAATCAGAACAAAATTTAATGGAGGACAGCTGGCCTTTTAGAGTAAGCTCTTTTACGCACTCTCGCAAAGGCAATAGACGTGTGTGCATTATTATCGAATCTGATTAGAAGATCACCCAAAAAATAATTAAAAAATTTCCAAGTTGAATGCTTTTCAAGTGGAAAGATCAAACATTTCTGAGAAACTACCTTATACAATTTTTGTATCATGTGAATGAGTGAGTATATACTCTTATTTTCGAAATTCGTTTATACTTACATTGGATAGCTGTTGCCAGCTGTCGGGCAGAATAACTGATAATAGCGTTTGATGCATGGCACACCTTTGATTATATCACCGCGCACGTCCAAACCCAAGGCAACGGACAGTGCAGTCCACCAAATCTGTATAAAGAATAAAGAGAGATGGTAAAAAGTTAATATCCCATAAATTTACATAAAATTAAAAAATAAATGTATAATAATAAACTACTAAAATTAAAGTATTGATAAAAAAATAAAATAAACATAAAAAATAAAATATTAATTATAGCTTTGAAATATTAAATAATCGAGTAGAAAATTCGTTTTTAATTTTAAGAAAACTTTCATTTAAGGTTCATATAAGAAAAAATTCGATTTCCTAAAAAAAAAAAAATTTGAAGAGAAAAGCATGTCGCCTTCAAGGTTTATATAATACCTAGTTACGTTGACGTCACCGAACTTAATGTTACCTGTTGACCTAGACGGGGTAAGGTCGTCGAAGGGATGACAGCCCTTGGCCGGATGAAATCCGAATCAACTCCGGTGCGTAGAACCGGCTGTCTTGAGAGTTTTAATGCAATTGGTCGTAAGCTATGCTGCTCCGATCTGGGAACGAACGAGACGCATATGAAGAAGTTACAGGCTTGTCAAAACACCGCCCTCAGGACCGCCACAGGAAACCTCTTGATTTCGCTAGAGCATCACTTGTACAGTCAAGCATCTATCTATGCAAGCAAATCCTATTGAGATGCTACCGTAAGGAATACCCCAATAAGCACCTAATAGAAGCTGAAACTCCATCTCAGCACATCAAAAAGGGAGTACTCGACTTAAAAAACACCATACAGCAATATCTACAGCAACCGCTGGACAGGACGGCGTACAGATAGGCACAGAAGGACATTCACCAGGAGTCAGTCAACTTCTTCAAAGACTCCCTTCCAGTGAATGGCGTTTTCGGAGAAAAACCACATTCTCTTGAAGACAACGAGCTCGAGCTGCTTGGTGAGACCCGCGTGACCTTAGCACAACTTAGGTCTGGGTACTGTAGCAGGTTAAACTACTACTTATCCAGACCCGACCCCAGCATATCCAACGTACACCCTGCACGACACTAACCACCTCTTCACATGTCCCCTTAAACCTACTCATCTAACTCTCCTCTCACTTTGGGACAATCCCGTTGAAACAGCTCGTTTCCCGGACCTCCCACTAGATGACAACAAAAACAACGAGAACAAGAACAAGCAAACCAACTTCATCATAAACACAGTGGGCGGGATTTGATATTATATAATAAAAAGAAATAATTTTTTTTCTTTCAAAAATGTTTATGTACATATGTAAATATGTGGAAAAAACTTCTTATCGTGACAAAAACACAAATTATACAAATTTTTTATTTTTGATTTTACATACTGACGCCACCGAAGTCACTATATGGCCACTTTTTTATTAAAATCTGGCGCAAAATTTATAAATAAATATGCTACTATGCAAGGCTTTGATCGAACGAAGTTCGAAGTGGCCAAATACCACCAAATAATTTCAAAAATTTTATACCAAAGTAACATTTTTTTTTTTGAAAATCTATACTTTTTGCAGATATATTATATTGTTACCCATCCGATGAATTCAAGTTCAGGTTTTCAGCCCAAAATATTGTTTAATTAAATTCATAAAATGGAGCTGTTAACGATTATTTTGCATTTTTCGAAAAATTTTAATATAAAATACTGACAGAATTTTTTTTTTCAAATTTTTGTTCACAATTTCCCACTGCAAACTTTTTCATCGCCTCGAATTTATAAACACAATTTTTTCAGAAGATGTGGACCATTCTTTTCCCAAAAGCTCTTTAGCAGACAAAGAAAGTATGGGGAAATCGGATTTTTATTAAAAATTTTACAATATTGCCCGTTCGCTTAGAATTTTTAGAATTTTGATATTTTTTTTAACGTATTTGACATTATTTTCGCATGCCATTCGTATTACTTTTGTTAAAAAATAATGATAATAATTTTTATAATTTAAACATTTTTGAAAACCAAATACATTTACTCGACATAAAATTATTCACTACGTTTTAATTGTGATTGATATATTATTTTAAACACAATTAATGCAAGGCTTTAGAGTTTTATAGTTAAGTTGTTTTATAGATAAAATTAAGAAAATTTATTTTAATGTGTTCGGCAGCCCACAAAATTTAACCAACTGCTTCAGTAAACATATGATTTCGCTCTTGTCGTAAGCTTGTATTCTATAAACCTTGCGTCACCTTAATAGAATTTTATTTCTTATGATAATTTTTTTCCAACTACAAATTTTTTCCTATAAAAATATTCAAAAAATAATTTTTTTTTAATTTTCTTTTGTTTTTTTTTCACACAATAAAATTGTTCCCATTTGCATATTCTTCGTATAAAATTTTTTTTAATAAAAAAACTTTAATGAATTGGTTATATCTTAAACAAAAAAAGAAAAAGATGTAATTTATTTTAACTTTAAAATCTAAAAATATAAAAGAATTTTTTTTATTTTAAAAAATTTGTCTTGACACTAAAAATAATATTTTCAACATATTTGCTCCGTGAAAACCTCTATACCTGTAAAATAAACACGAAATTATATAAATAGCATGCTTGTTATTGTTGTTTTTTTAAGTAAATATTTTTATTTATACACATAAATTTATTTACTTATCTCTAATTCACTCAACCGCCAATCTCTACTTCGCAATGCTCTTGGCACTACTTTCTAATATGTAAAGCCTCTGGTTTAAATTACACACAAGCATCGGTGGTTCAGTGGTAGAATGCTCGCCTGCCACGCGGGCGGCCCGGGTTCGATTCCCGGCCGATGCATTTCTATTTTTTTCATTCAAACTACTTTTTTAGTTTAAAGAAAATAAATATTTTAATTTTGGCACTAATTGTTCAGCTATTTTGTCTACTTAGCTTCCATATTCAAGACAAGATTACTTACTAAACGTTTGGCAGCTCGAGTGAAATTGTTTGAAGAATTCGGCTGTATTTTGGTATACAAACTTTCTTGGCTGAATGCACTTTGCGCTGCTTAAAATACTTAAAGTCGGAAACGAAGGATTTTTTGTCTCCAGAAATCAATTGAAAACAATCGTAAATGGACTGATAATGCAAATATCATCATCGAAAAACTTAGAGACAAGTTTTTTGCATGTTTTCGCTCACAAGTCCATACATACATGTAGTCATGTGTATGTAGATATTTTTACATCTGTACAGTGTGTTCCAAAAATAACCGAACTTTATATTTAAACCATACAACATACAGCGCCATCTATTGAAAATTTGCAACATTAAAAAGATACATTCATCCTCTTTCAAACGCACCTAACACCATGCAAGTCGGATAACAGATGTAAAAGTGACAGCCAGTTCAATAAAACCAAAAGTGTGCTAATGGTTCAAAAATAAAATGGAACAAAGAGCAAATATAAAATTTTGTCTCAAACTTGAAAAAAAAAATAATAAAAAAAGTTTATTGTGATGATTGTATGAGTCGTACGCAAATTTATACGTGGTTTACACGATTCAAAAATGGTCGTGTGGATTTAAACGACGACCCTCGAGCAGGACGTCCAGAAACTAGTAATCGTGCTGAACTGGTGGGAAAAGTCCATGGAATCATTGGTATCGATGCAAATTTCACTACGAGAATGTTGGCTGAGGAATTGAATACGTGTAAAAACACTATTTGGAGAATTTTAACTGAAGATTTGGGGAAAAGAAAGGTTTGTGCGCGCTTTGTTCCACATGAATCAAAGGACGACCAAAAATTCGCTCGAATTTTTAATGAAAAAAGGGATTTCTCTCATCGACCATCCTTCGTATTCGCCTGATCTATCACCATGTGACTATTTTTTATTTCTAAAACTGAAATGCAAGATGAAGGGAGCATTTATGATGATATCCCAGCCATTCAAGCAGCCGTAACCGAGGTACTGAAGAACATTTCTATAAATGACTTAAAAAAATCTATGCATGCGCTGGTTGATCGTTTCAAACGTTGTGTTGAGTCAAATGGAACCTATTTTGAATACATAATAACTTTCAAAGATAATATAATGTGTATTTTATTTTATATCCAAAAAGTTCGGTTATTTTTGGGACACACCGTTTATATAGGAGGTCTGCTCAAAAGAAATGGTTAATTTTAATTATGGAAATTCATTTTTATGTTCCATTTGTGTTTACCAAAACTTGGCATTATGAGTCACTGTGGATTATTAGTTTTTTTGTAGACCAACAGAAAAGCTTAGTCTCTTCTTTGTGTGATTTTTGACTTTAAAAAAAAAATGAATCGAAAAATATATATTAAATTTAATATTAAAAATTGGTATAAAGCGATACAAGGTACTTGAAATGTTGACCATGGCATTCACCGAATCCACTTTGTCTGAAAAAGGGCTTATAAGTCTTACAGAAGGCCGAGAAAATGTTGATGATGATGAGCGTCATGGAGTTACCAGCGACGAAGACATCGGAAAAGTAAAAAAAAAAAAATAGTTTTGGCAACTCGCCGTAATACTACTAGGGAAGTTACTGAGAATGTTGCTCATGTCACGCAATTTTAACAAATAGTTTAGGCATGAAGCATGTGGTAGTGAGGTTTGTTCCGAAATTGTTGACGTAAAACTAGTATCGCTCATAATTGGTGACTAAAGGTGGGTATATGCAATCTCCCCAATGCAAGCGGCCAGACCGAAAAAAGCACGCCATGTTCGATCAAATGTGAAGACTTTTCTCACTGTTTTCTTCGATTAATCAATGGCGTGGTGCCTCATGGGTGCCCATCAGCAGGTCGTTTGGCTAAAAAGAAATACAACAGGGAAGTTACACAACATCTGCGTGAAGCAATATAACTCAAACAAATAGGAATTGTGGAAAAGCAAATCACGATAACGCACCAGCTCACACATCAAAGCTTCTTCGTGATTTTTTTTTTGACCAAAATCATGCCTTAACAATCATATTCATCAGATTTGGCTACCTGCGACTTTTTTCTATTCCCAAAGACTGAAAAGCCCAATAAAAGGAAAGCGTTTTCACAACTACTAATGAAATAAAATCACAAATGATTCGAAGTTTGGAAGAAGC